ATTGTCTACCTGAAACATAAAAATTGTGATTCAGCTAGTCACCACATGGATCATACCACATCCAATCTGCCAAAATCATGTAGAGTGAAGAAAATGGTTGTTTTGACACAATGATAAAACATTGAGGAATGCTAGAACTTCATAGCATATATAACTTGTAAGAATCAAAACTTAACTGCGAATCCAGCTTTCACTTTACCATTTCTTTTTAGGTGTTGACTTATTGTTTCTCTTTTTTTATTCTCCATGAATGCATGCTATCTCTTTATTTCCTTATATATCGAGGGTTGTATATCATCCAATTTGTCTAAGTGATAGATGATTTGTTTGATTATAAAAAAATGTGGGAAAAGTAAAAAAAAAGGTATTAGAAATTTGATGATTTGTTATTCATTTCTAGGGCTTATAAAAACCCTTTTCCTTAATTAGGACAATGCTACCATTTGTAAACAAAATTATAAAAATATATTAAGGATATGGTTCACATTGTGTTAATATGGTTGGTTAATGTGATATTAGTACATGCCATATGTATAAGAAGTTTGTTATCAATGAAGTACAGGATCTAATGGAAATGATGTTTTGTTCTTATGATGCTTTGAGGGGGTTTTAGAAGTTGGGGGTATGGAACAATGGGTAGTAGTGAGTTGGATAAAACTTCATAAGAGAAAGAGCCAAACACGTCACCTACTACTAATACTCAGGTATTTTTTGTAATTTTTGTAGATTAAATGTTTGTTCAGGGTTGTTGGTGATGTAGGTGGATGAGTTAGTAGCGGTGATGACGTGGAAGCTGACTAAGATGACACCTAAGGAAATGAAGGGGGTTCTTTCGACGACACCTGTCTCATGTGTGGAAGGCTACATGCTATGAGCCATCCTATTCTGCTGGGCAATGATGTCTTGTAGTGAACTCTCTAGTGAAGTTTTTGAAAGAATAAATCTTCCAGCCAAGCTAGTGGAATTGAGGAGCAATGGCGGGATTCCAAGGATTTAAGATGATTACACAACTACCAAAAACATGATGGATGAAGGTTTTATATTGTTATGGAGGGGGCAGCAAAGATGAAAGATACATATGGTTCAAAGATTACAACTTGAAAGTTGTATTCATACGTAAATCATTGTGACATAATAGTAATGACAATAAATATGACCTCCTTCATCTTTAGTGTGTATCTTTTCTTTATAACGAACAATTCTTATATTGAAAATGAAAAGTGCAGCAACTTTACTCTTGAGATTCTTCCAAAGATAAGAGGATAAATTTGAGAGTGGTGATGGGAGAAGGAAGGATGACCGCTTGAAAGCTTACGAATGGAGCACTTGATCTCGTTTTTTATGCCAACTTTGCAATCTTGATCGTTTGATGCTCAAGAAGAATTATCCAAAAGCTGAAACTACGGCATGTTGTTTCCCGACCATAACATCTTACAAATCTGGTAATATTTTGCGATACTGGGTGGTATTTTGTAGTGTTGGAAAATGTTCTGTAGAACTGAAGAACGTTCTACAGAGCTGGAAAATGTCTTGTAAAGTTGGAAAATACAGGAAGTCTGAGAAAATGGTGATTTCCAAATGGTTTTAGGGTGCAGGGTAGGAGGTTGAAGACAGAATATTTCTAGGGGGAAAATGGGAGTTTTTAGTGGTGAGGAAGAAGGGTCGAAGTTAGGTGTGTCAATCTATTTTGTGTTGCATGCGTTTCTAAGTTCTTTGTTCTAAAAAAATGAAGGGCATATGATTTATATATATATGCAGTGGCATTGTTGTAATTTTTGGTTAATGGCTTAGAGGTGCATAGATAGGTTAGGATGAGCTGTCAAATTTTTGGTGGTTCTAAGCATTATCGGCAACTCTGTGATAGTGGCATCATGAATTACCCAATGGTTCCAATGAAGCTTCGTTGGTTCTGGCGAAAAACTGGAAATTATATATTTTTGGCAATGTCCCCAGCCATACAAAATCCTATCTTTGGGGAGGTACTTGAGTGTAGCCGGCAAAAACAACATCTGCACAGGATTTAGTAAGTTCCCTTGGCTCAGCACAAGCTTTTGGAAGATTATGCAAGCAAAATGGTAATCTTTCACAACAATTTCCAAGGCTATGGAACTTGTGTAGCCACCCATGCATTAAATATGGTTGGAAGTTGTAGATGGTGATCAAGACAGCATCTCTAGTTAGTTTCAGGCAGGATTTCCAGCTTTTAGTTAGCATCAAATGGCACTGTTCTGGGAATCAAGTTCATTTCCATGTCTTCACTGTCCAACCCTTTTCTGGTGAAGTTAGACAGCATTGCCAGCACCAAGCTTCGCTGATGTAGGTGCCTTGCTTTGCTAGATGGGCAACGTTCATCCAACCATGTCTACCAAGTTACTACTTTTATAGTTTATCCCTAATAATCCCCATGAGCTTGGATTCATGGGCTTGCATTTATCTGTAGTAACAACAAGGCACATGTGATTATATGTTCAAATATTTAAGAATAAGATATATATAAATATATGCAACGAAGAAGGAAACTCCCTCGTATGTTGAAGGGGGCTATGTGGATGAATATCTACTGCTCTCATCTTGCTAGCCATGGTTGGCATCAGTATATTGTTATTGTACATGGCTGGCATTGCACCAGAATGGGGAATAATTGGTATGGGTGTGTATTGCGACATCGTTGTCCCGAGCCAAGCTTCGTTGGCTGGTGATACCTATTGACAGTAAGACAAAAAATATGTGTTATGAGTCGAGATTACCAACGATCGGTAATTGTGTCCCTTTGTGTAGAAGAGTGACAATGTGCATGACCTCCGGCCATGTTATGTATGTATTATGGGGTTAGCCATGAATAGCTTCCCTATGGCCAAAGGGACAACAATGGATAGATTTGCCCATGGCCGAAGCGTGAACTAT